ATACCATGCTCAGCGTACCATTAGGACCTTTGCCGATAATTTCATCTTTATCGAGAACGTAATTAATTTGTTCGCGTACGGCTTCATATTGAATACCAAATAAATGTACTTTGCGCGGACTAAGATAATAGATCTTACTTACTTGTCGGAATGGGGCACGTGAACGTTTTGCGCTCAATCGTAACTGTAATGCGCAGTCGCGTCAATGCTAGAATAGGCTTTACCTCTTGTTATAAAAGGATCATTTACTAATTTTCTCTGTTGTTCTGCTAATTCGTATTTTTGTTGTAATAGTTTCTTTCTAATTTAGCTTTTACTAGATATTTTTTCAGTAAATTTCTTCCTTGCGAGCATTATATTGTAAGCCGTTCCGAAAATATTGGCACGTGTCACATAAATCCGTTCTCGGACTCATAATTTGAATATAAGGCGTTAATTGGTGTCATAACTTGCGAAACGCATCATACTTTAACAATTTCAACGTGCTATCATTTTCGAGACCTGCAATTAAAATCACGATAGACCGATTTATAACTTGTTTCAGCTGGCAATAGTGTCAGTGATTGAGTAATACGATTGACATTTCTACCAGGAACTTTCTAGACCTTTTCACAATTGTAACTATTGTTCCCCTGTATGCAAATGCGCCGAAATTCACGCATATTGATTAAACGTTTAGTTCGAATATCGTGACTCAAGAAAGGTTTGCTATAAAAGACGACCAAAATTGAGCTATTTTACGAAAAAGGTTTGCGAACTGCTTTTACAAAATCTGTCCAACAGACTTTATTATTTTAAAATGTTTGCTCTCACGAGTGAATTTATTCTTGGATTATTGATCGGAATTATCCTTGGATATTCCCTTTACTATGAAATTCACAAAGATCACCTGCATATTATAAATCATTTAATGGAGCCGAAGAAAAGACCTAAGTCTACCAGACAAATTGGCCAACGTGACTATCCATCAGAAACCGAAAACTTGTGGAACGATTTAATCCTATTATACGAAAAAAGAATCAAATTTAACAAAATGATGCTTGAAATCCATTTTTCTCCCATGCAATCACTCTGGTGCTTTTAACATTATTTATACAGTCGTCCCCTCATATAGTCACCGCGTTGGAGCGAGTAATTCAGGGTGGTGACTATAAATTTTGACTATACGGGTGACTGTAACTTTATAATTACAATGTAAATGAAACGTTTGGTTCTTCCTGAGACGGTGACTGTAGGGGGGTGGTGACTGTATGGGGGTGACTGTATTTTCAAGAATAATAAAATTTATGCTTACAAAAATTGATTTTTATATGTTTGACTTTTTTGATTGCAATTATGTCAGTCTTTATCAATAAGGAACGAACTTCCGTTGACGGGTCGTTCGGCGTTTGCAGAAAGCTTTTACATTAAATTTATTCTCCTTACGTTTCTTCAAGTTTTCTGGTTCATCATGTGTTGGTGTTAATGCTCGTTTAGTAGTTATGATTTTCCGTTCCTCTTGATAAATTTCATAAGTAATTTTTTCTTAATGTAAATATTCCTGGAGAGTTTGGGGTATTATTAATTTTAAAAACATATAAGAGGCAATTTTTTCTCCTTGAGCTTTGAGAATGCTTTTAATAGTGCTGTAATTCTTTGGTTCCATAATGGATTTAATGTAAATTAATTTCATATATTTTATTTTTATATATAGAGGGAATCCTATATTAATCCTGTTATGGTTTATATTACTCATCTTCTGGTATGATAAAGGGAGCATTAAAATTAACAGGTCCATAAGTTATGAATGAACACCAATATTATTTTTTAAAATGTCCTCAGTCACATTGGTCAATTTTACAGTCACATCATAATCAGCCTCTCATTTATGTCACATAATAAAATGTTCACTTTGTATTTGTCTGGTTTTGTTGCAGCGTGCCCCATTTTATCACATTTAAGCATGTGTTTTTACTGATAGATTGGGAAGAGAAGAAACTTTTTCTTACCAATTGTTTTGCAAAGGACCCGAGGTTACGGTGTAAAATATCGGAATTTCATCAGTCATGCTGCTCGACAATCATATTTAATATTGCCCAAACAATAAGCTATGCATGCAGCTCCCATAGATCTACTATCACGAGATATAACCACTCCTGGTGAGCATCATTTCGAGATAAGAATTGATTTTGATGCTGAGGAGTAGTTCGCTATTAATATTATTATTTTAAAGTTGATCAAATAGTCTACACCCTTCGATCACGCAGTCTAGTAGCTTCTAGAATGCACGAAAATATTGCAAATGCATTTATCGAAAATCCCATGCATCCTCGCGTTGGTACCATTCCGCGTTTTCAGATAATAAAGACATACGAGAATACAGTTCATTCTTTATTTTAATATAGCCAGCTTACGCTAACGGAATTGACTCGAGGCGTGCAAGGCATATCTATCAATCGATCATATAACTAGTCAGAAGGTTTTTTTAGAGACACTTTTAAGGAACAATTTGACAACTTAATTTGCAACATTGTATAACGAAAAAGTTTGCATAGCATTATGCGCTTTGCTGTGAATTTCTGTTTTGGAAATCAGGTCATATGACAATGGATCTTCACATAAAGAATTACACCTGTCACCAGTTTAATTTGCATTCGTGATGATGAGTTCTCGCCATCACTTTATCTATGTTCGTGTATGGCACGATGATAATAATTCGCTTGCTCTCGATATGTACTAATCGACATCGATCCTTGTCTAGACCAATTTGACCCGTTGATTCCGCACGCAAATAAATAATTCTGGAGAACGTTATCCTCTGGTCACAGTATTGTTAGAATCGGGTAACACTCTCTTAACATGCAAGTTAATTCTTACATTAATTCAGTGTTGAATAATTATCCTAAATTCAGTAATATTATCTCTCATATGCATCGATTGCTGACCAGTTTAGTGAAATCCATACTAATGTAATAAACTGATGGTTGAGTTTGTTAGCGATTATCTCTTCAATGGAGACTATGTGCCAAGCTGAAAAAAGCCCATGCTTCATATTTTGTCTGTCGCAGAATTGACAACTCAACCAGTACGAAGTTAATTTTAAAAAATTTCTCAAGTTGCATAAGTGATATTAATATTGTCAAGCTACGTATTATACTGTTCACATTTTGGCAATAAACGAAAACTTGTTCGATTACATAATATTTATTGACTTGTTGGTACATTTGCAATACATAAGTTTTCATACGGAATTCCCGTTACACGTTTTTTTTTCTTTGGTAATAATACGGTCTTTGCAATAACTACCGCGTAATTTAAGGTAAGGCTACTTTTTTTCCTTCACATAACTCGTGATTTGAGTAGTCTCCCAAAGTCAAAATTTGAGCCGATATGATTCAATCTTACTGTTTCGAACTTTTAATGCATACTCGAGTTAATATATGTTCTATAGTGAAGCAAAATACGAATACCCGAAAAATTTCCAGTCATGTGAGTGACACGATTACTACTAATAAACGCACGAACCCCCTTGTCGTTATATTTGCCATGTCATGCAAAGAATTATTATTATAATAAAGTTGTTTCGTCATAATTAATTTTGTTCTTGATAAATCTCGCTTATGTAAAACACAAACAAGTTGATGCAAATGATTGTGCAGTATTTTGACTCAGTAACTGTTTAGCATTGATACTTATAATAATAAGCTCCTGTCGCGTTTAATTATCTCACACAAAGAGAATGATATAAAAACAAAAACGATAATATTTATTGCAAAGAAACGTATATTAAGAATCGTAAAATAAATTTATCAATTTTTTGTTGAAAATTGTGTTGCGTTTTGCAGCAAGAAATACTTTGTTTCTAAATTTGAAGTTACGTTGCGTAATATTTGCTACAAAAATTTCTTGCACGAAAACCAAATCCTTACAATAACGACGGTAATACTGTTTCGGTTTTTTTGGCCGAGCAGCTGAATGGTATATCGCAAACAATCCTCCTCTAAAATGCACGATTGAAATCTCAAAGCCAATTACATACCACAAAATTGATTTGTGAAGGATTCATTAAATTGAGTGTGCTACAGATTATATTGAATGGGAAGCTCCAGGTATAAGGAAGTCCACAAATAGAAATCATAATGTTCAGCTCGAGTAGAAAATATTACTATTAATAAACTGATGGAGAGCGATAGTATAGAACGGGTAGGTAGTTTGCTGAAAATTTGAAAAAAACATTGAACCGAGTTCAAGTATTATTATAAATAAACTGATTTATTATTATTATATTATTATCATCACATGAAATAAGTTCTATCACACCCGCAAAATTTATTGACCAATTACCGAACGGATGAGTGTGACATCGTCGTCCCCAGCCACATGCGCAACGGGATTTGTTATTATTTTCTGTCAATATCCTTTTGTATATCGAGAATTTGAATATTGTGAGGCTAACTGTCATAAAATACGCAAGCAAAAAAACATGCGATCAGGCAGCAAATTTAACCAACATCAGTAGTTCACACTTGTATATCTAACTTTTATCTCTTTCAACACGAGAAAAATAATCGTGTTGAAAACATTTATTGCGTGATCTTATTATATCACCCAAGTCGTCTATCTTGGCTAATTATCGTATGATTTAGTGACAAAGAGTTCGTAAAATTATAATAAAAGTCACATTTCGAAGAATGGCACGAAGCTCTTTATTTCTTCAATCACATGACCGGGTGAAATACCTCGGCATCCAGCTGAGGATAAAAATCATTAAGAAACTCGACAAATAAAGCTTAAATTACAAATAGCTCTAAATCAGATTCAACAGTATTATTGTTCTTGTCATTTGATGAAAACCCTCTTATTTAGCAGAGGGAGAGGGAATGATTCGAGGTGATTCTAGTTGATATCATTGTATAAGAATTATAATTCGAATTCAATGATGACTGTTATGAACGATCTACCGACGAGATTGGGAGTAAAATTCACATTCACAAGCACACCCATATTCATTAGAGATATGGTCATACAGACGCCGCCGATCCCTGCCGACGAACACTCGCCAATCGTCGTTTTTCACCTTCCAACTAATTCAGAGGAAAATAGAATACTAAATATTCATCTTACAAAGTAAAATTGTTTGTACAATCTCTCTGCATCACCCCACACACATACCACTTTCTTAACACGTTCTAGTGACCCAGCAGCATTTGAATTAGCCCTACAATTCTCAACGTTGTATGGAGGAGTAATAGCCACTTCATCGAGAACCACAATGGTATCCTTAGCCCATCGGCACGGTAGTCTGAACGTAGAACGAGAGGATGTGTGTAATGATGACGGTGAAAAGTAGTCAGGTAAGATGATTTGGATGTTGTTATTGAAAGATGCGATAGTTAAAGTAGTGTAAAACGATTGCATTGAAAAAGTTAAGTGGTATTCAAAATATTAGTATTACAGTTGATAGTCTCCGTCTCCCGTGAATTTGAATCGCTCACTCGCCAATCTCTTAAGATTAAAACCACAATCTAATTTTGTCCTTAAGTTTCATTCCCCCACTTATCTTCTTTTATTCCACTTACGTTTTACTTAACGCATCGAAGATTTCTTGTGCCTCTTGCGTAACCCCATCACCAATCCTCGCTAGCTGACACTGTGTGTCTTTATATGCTTGTATTCCTCTTTGTTGAAGTTTATCCAATTGGACATAACCAATTCTCGGGAAGGCTTTAGCGAAAAAATTGATTAATCGCATTCTGACCGTTTGTCGCATTGGCATTGTTTGATGCAGCGTCTGGCGTTGGAGGAATGGTATTAGGTGTGGTCGTAACAGGCGTTGTTGGCATGCTATCACTAATAGAATTCTTCCTGTATGGTAGTTGAGTAACTTCTTTCAGAAAGCCGATTTTTAAAATATGAAAATCATATTTCGGTGATGAAAGCGTTTGTGCAGATGTCTGGTCGCTTGGGCATTGTTTAACATTGGGGGGGAAAAGGGATTGGTTTAGGTTAAGGAATAATTCAGAAATAATTTTAATCAAAGAGTTATTCCCTGAGCCATACTTGTTTTAAAGCTACGAAGGGAAACGCTATAACGGCATAATATTATTATCATTAAGGATATGAAGCACAACACAGCTCGTCTTTGAATCATAAGCATAGATCTGTCCTTCGTGTTCTTCATCGGTAATGGTTTTTACTCGGATCGGCAGTCCTAATACCCAATCTAAACCTCTTTGTTGTTGTAATGTGTGTTGTTGCTGTTGCTGTTGCTGTTGCTGTTGTTGTTGTTGTTGTTGCTGCTGATCGTTCCTGTTATCTGCGGAGGAGTTATTACTATTATTATTAATGGCTACGGAGCTGTTCGAAGTCGCGTTGGAAGATCGTTGATTCGTGGACGAAGAGTTGGAACGATTAAGGTTACGTGGATTAGAGCGTTGCATGTGGGTATTATCCATACGATGTGTCTGGAATAATTGTAAAAAAGGTCCACCTGAACTCGTATATATTTAACGAATCAAACATGTGACATCACTAGTGGCTTGGTCAATTCAAGACTCTTTTTTTTTTTCACACTTTTATCATTGTTGGTAGGTTCTCATTATATCGATCGTTATGAAACATGCGTAAATTCGGAATAAGGACATTGACATATAATTTTAATAGGCTTGTTTATAACTTATTTGATGGGAATTTACCTGTCTGCTATCACGCACTTAATAAGTCTACTTATTATTGAATACTTATTAGTGTATTCAATTGATTATTATTATTAAAGTTCAAATATAAAATACATTCCTGTTTGCGATGGTGTCATGGATTCTGGCCATTCCATATACGTTGCTATGTTTCAAAGTCAGCTGATAAGACAATATGCAATTCTCCTAAGAAAAGTTAGTTCCGATTTTTTCCATCGAGAAATGGAACATTCCATTAATAGTCAACAAAGTATATAAACAACTGTTTTACCTATTAAAAGAAAACCTGAATCTTTTACAAGAAATCGCTTAGTCTAATTTTATGGTTTTCATTTTTACAACACTTATAATGATAGATTTGGGGGCATGCTGCAACAAAACCAGACAAAGTGAACATTTTATTATGTGACATAAATGAGAGGCTGATTATGATGTTGGCTGTAAAATTGACCAGTGTGACTGAGGACATTTTGAAAAAATAATATTGGTGTTCATTCATAACTTATGGACCTGTTAATTTTAATGCTCCCTTATCATACCAGAAGGTGAGGAATTAGGATATAAACCATAACAGGATTAATATAGGATTACCTCTACAAGTGAAACTCGATATAAGAAGCTCTCGATATAAGAAACGCTAATTAAATTTTGATATAAGAAAGTTGAGCTGAAAAACAGTCTATATAAAATTATCTCCATATAAAAAAGTTACTATATAAACTCTCGGTATAATAATAAGAAGGATTCTAAGATTTTTACTATGGCTCCCGATGACTTCTTATATCGAGAGCCACTTGTATATATAAAAATAGAATATATGAAATTAATTTACATTAAATCCATTATTATTATGGAACCAAAGAATTACAGCACTATTAGAAGCATTCTCAAAAAAGCTCAAGGAGAAAAAATTGTCCCTTATTAAAAAAGCTAATAAAGTATTAAAATTTGCAGTACTGAAATATTTTTATGTTTTATCAGTATAGATTAGTTTGGGACAAATAATATCCTTGAATTCATCTCTAACGAATGGGCGAATATTATGATAAAGATATTCTTGTCGTTTATAATCCAAAGAAGGCGGAGTTAGAACTAGGATAGAAAAGGATTTAATTTCTTTGGTAATTTTGGAAACACTTGCTTTTCTGGTTTTCAATAAATTAAATTCAGCGTACGAACCATTAGCAACCAGCTGAGCTTTGACGACTCCTGGATAAGCTGCTTCGAATACAAAATACTGATATTTTTGTAAACCACTCAATTTTTTAAAGAAAATTCCGAATTAAGATCTAAATATTGAAAGCCTTTGCCGTTTTTATAGAACTGAGCCTTGTTTAATCCCACGATGCTCGATTTTTTCACAACCTCAACAATATGACCCACGCAATCTACGGTCGTTTTTCGATAAAGCTTCTTAATTAATCCAAAACTACCATCACACTTGAATTTAGTATGCCCAGGCACTATAAAATTTAATTCGATACTTTTATAATAACCGCAAATTACCAAATACAAGTAAAATCAAATAGTGGCATTGTTTTTATTCTGACCACCGGCATTGTCACAAGTAATCTTTAAGCACTTTTCGCCCTTATTCAATTTCTTAATTCCCATCAAATACCATGCTCAGCGTACCATTAGGACCTTTGCCGATAATTTCATCTTTATCGAGAACGTAATTAATTTGTTCGCGTACGGCTTCATATTGAATACCAAATAAATGTACTTTGCGCGGACTAAGATAATAGATCTTACTTACTTGTCGGAATGGGGCACGTGAACGTTTTGCGCTCAATCGTAACTGTAATGCGCAGTCGCGTCAATGCTAGAATAGGCTTTACCTCTTGTTATAAAAGGATCATTTACTAATTTTCTCTGTTGTTCTGCTAATTCGTATTTTTGTTGTAATAGTTTCTTTCTAATTTAGCTTTTACTAGATATTTTTTCAGTAAATTTCTTCCTTGCGAGCATTATATTGTAAGCCGTTCCGAAAATATTGGCACGTGTCACATAAATCCGTTCTCGGACTCATAATTTGAATATAAGGCGTTAATTGGTGTCATAACTTGCGAAACGCATCATACTTTAACAATTTCAACGTGCTATCATTTTCGAGACCTGCAATAAAATCACGAAAGACTGATTTATAACTCGTTTCGGCTGGCAATAGTGTCAGCGATTGAGTAATGCGATTGACATTTCTACCAGGACTTGGTAATCCGTGTATTTCAGCGTAATTCTCGAGAAAATTCTTGACGGCAGTAGCAATGGTTATATCAATGGTTATTTTGGTTTTCCATCGTGGCACCTTTTTTACATTACCATGAACACGCGGTATGATACCATTCGTTTCTAGATGGTTTCTGACGTTTTCGAAGTGAGTGCGACCAATTCCCAACATATTGAGATACGTTTTTTGACAAAGCGGCGT